GGTGCAGACGTGCTCAATTTCACACAGTGTCAGTTCCACTTTAATATGTATACTCACATAAAACACTTTTAAACTATATAAGAAAAATATCAGTAATATGTAAATCAACTTACCAAGGACAATGGCTAACATCTGAGTGGCCTTTTTCTCCTTCTGCTGGGAGATCTTCCTCTTGCTCATGGTCTTCACAGAGGTCTGAGTCTTGCCATTAGGTAAGGCCTGTGTCTGGAAGGCTTTGGCCACAACAGGAGCTGGATTCCCCAGGGTCTCCTTGGTGGGATCTCCGTTCTTTTCTGCTTTCTGGCCCTCCTCAGGGGGTGTGGGAGGTGAGGAGGTGGGGCTAGCGTTGGCCTTGTTGGGCATCAATAGCTGGTGGCTGGTGGCCGGAGTGTCTCCAAGAGCACATTGTGGCTGCTGCTTCTGTTTCTGGCTGCTGCCACTATTGTTCAGCTCATCCAGCTCCAGATCCTCTCCTTCGTTGACTCCATCTTTGATGAATATCTGAGCCATGTTAGGATGAGGAGAAAAACATGGATTCAGACAGTCATTTTTAATTTAGGTTGTTACACAATGGGTGACATTTGAAATAATAAGTATTAAAAAGGAACAAATGATCACATTCTCAGTCTTTAATTTAAGTTTTCTGTGTTCACAGAAGCAGAAAGGAGCCTTTTCAAGCTACATTTTCTCTGAGAAATGGAGGAAAACTTGACATCTTGCTTAATCTTTTACAGGCAAAACAAATGTGTTTCCAACAATTAGACTTATTAGAAAAAAAACAAAAGAACAAAAAAAGACCACACACCACTTTCTTCTTGTTGACAGGAAAACTCCCGTTTGATTTAACAATCATGGTACACAACCTGACATCCTCTGGATGAGTGCACTTATCCTGAAATGAAAACAGCTGTGTCAGGCAAGGAGAGGTACAATGTCAAAGCACGACTGACAAAAGGGCTGTCTAAACACAGGTCCCACTGCCTACCGGGTCAAATAAGGCTATATCGAGCTCTGGCACAGAAAGGCTGTTTAGCAAGAATCTGATCTGCAGCTTCAACTGCAGCTGCAAGTCCATTGACCTGACAGTGTAAGAAATGGTCAACTGAGGTTATTTCACCAAGATGACACAAACTCATTCAACAATTAAAAGCACTAGTGAAACTTTATGTCAAATTGGTTCTGTTACTCCAAGAAGATTATGTACGTTATCTGTCCATATGCTGCCCGGTACAGCTTCACAGGTCATTAAATTATGAAGTAATATGTAAATGTTGACCTGACCTCAATCTATAACACAGACACAAACACACACACACACACACACACACAAACCACAGTGTAAAGACATGCATGGACATGAGTAATGCAGTACACTGGATCAAAAGCATTACTTAGCTTCCTGTGCAGAGCCCAATGAGTTTCACTATGTCAGTAAAATCAATAACCAGAAATGCAAAAGGTCATTTGAAGGCAATCATAACTAACTTGCGTGACGGCTTTCAACACTGCAGTGAGCCAGTAAATGTAACATCAAGATTAAAATTGGTCTCCCAAATGGAACCAGTTATAGAGTATTTCATTGACATACAGGGGGCAAGAAAATCACTTGAAATGCTTTAGGTGTAAGTAAGCCATACCCTTTTAATCTCTTGCCTTGAATGTTGTCTATTGTTTTGGTTTCTTTTTCAAAGAAAATCAATTCTCTTCTTGTCTGGGTTTTCCCCTTTACGGTTTGTCGTTACATAATACAATGCCTGTCCATAAAACTATCAAGTATAATTGGGTTGATGTTATTGATTGCTGATTCTTTAAGAAACAAATTATTTTCATTTTCAGTTTTTTGATGTTTTTTTTTACAATGGTTAAAAAATATATCATTCAAAAATGTTCAAAGTATTACATACTATGTTATCCATTTTTTAAAAAGGAACAAAAAGTCGGTCTGTGTTACTTTCACTGCTTTAGTTGTTAAAAACACACTCACAGCCCTCTCTTAGATCACACAGTCCCCGATGTTGTCTCCTTCACTTTTACACTGATCTTTCATGTTTTTTTTTTGACTGTGTCCGCATTTCGTATCATGCATGCACACAGAAAAAGAGACATCATTGTAAAATGATGAAAAAGATAGATGGTATAATAAAAGTGTAAACCAATCTCCGTTTCACATTGAAGCTGTAAAAGTGTCAGTGAACAGCAACCATATTGCCACAGCAGCTCACCTTCAGCGAAGTGGCCGCATCAGGGTCAGCAGCTTGACAGACACGCTGCTTCGGTTTTGTGTTTACACGTTTTCTGCGCTTCCTCAGGACCACATAAATTTGCACATAAACCAGCAGAGTGATGATGAAGGGCACGTAGAAGGACACGATGGAAGAGTATACCACAAAGGCCGGATTGGCGATCACACAGAGAGACTCATCACGAGTAGCTGTGGAGATAAAAACAGGGTGAATTAAAGCTTAAGTCTACACGCTATGTTCCATCCAAAATTGTTTCTTTTGTGTGTGTGTGTAGTTTTGCTCTGTTTTTGTCAATGTGACTCTACAATAAATGGTGAACTTTTGTTTGGCTTGAACTTGCAGCTACTGTAAAAACCAAGGGTTGCTCTTTGATTTCAATCTCTTGAAAATTCATCCAAAAATGTGACCACTCCTACGCTCCCTTCACTTGGAGGTCATTCACACAAACCCCCATTCAGTTAGACCACTGCTATCATTTTTATTCCAACCTACCTCCCTCAGAACTGCCTTATAGCTTATCCAGGATGCTGCCACAGGCCTTCTATCTGGCCCCAAATGTAGAGATCATATCACCCCAATTTTCAACTCCCTGCACTGGTTGCATGTTCATTTTAGATTTCACTGATTTACTTTAAAGCCAGCCAAATTTGCCCTGCACTACATCACAGGCTTTTAAACTCACCTTACACCAGACTACACTGACTTAGGTGACAGTTTTTGGACAGAACCATCTTAGACTCAAAATGGACAAAGTTCAGACCCTAAAGGCATCAATTGTTGCCACACAGGCGGAGCTAACAACTGAGTCGTCATGGATACTGTAGATGTGACAGTCATTTTTCAGTTCATGTTACCAGCTTCACACTTGAAGGTGGCTGTGCCTCAGGAGATAAAGCAGGTTGACCATTAAAGGGGCACCACAGTATTACATGCACAGTTACATGTATGTGTCAGGAGAAGCACTACTCAGGCTGCGAGTTTGAAAGAAGTAGGCATTATGGAAAACATAGAATTCAGTGTTTTTGGAGCGTGACCCCTATGATAGACTAAAAGCATGTCTCAGCTTCAGCAGCTTCAATTTTGACATTTTATTTATCAGTAGCTTTGAAAGCCCTTGAACTTCATGGAAGATACATACATATTAAATTGCTGGGATACCTCTTTAATCCACTTGCCCTTGAACACGTCACGAACCCTTATTCAGATGGCACACTCAATATGCACACAAACTTGTGACTGTGTATTCGTAAGCGAGTGTGTGTGTGTGTGTGTGTGTGTGTGTGTGTGTGTGTGTGTGTGTGTGTGTGTGTGCTTTGGGTAAAAGTAATACAATGCAATGTCCAATTACTACAAAAATCTGGGGTTGTGAAATCTGTGTTTGAAATGATCAACAGACACCTCTGACAAACTTGCTGTTCCCTTCACAGTTCTACAAGCTTTCAACCCATTGCTAAAAAAAAAGAATACAGATATTTAAAACATGATTTTTTTTGTTGTGATTGCTTCCATTTCAGTTCCTACTGGTGGTCTCTGCTTTAATGTTTCCTGTAACTCATACTGGTTACATCTGCAGCCGCTGCTCACTTGAAAGCAGTTGTGGGGCTCACAAATCTAAATGTCTGAGTCCCGGCAGAATCGACATTACATCAAGGCACTCAAAGGGATGAGTGGAGCTTCAAAGTGACAGGATGCGAGCGACAGGAGCTGGTAAGCAACAAGTATAAAAAGCCCTTAATCGGAAACCGCTTCAACAGTAATCCTCTGTTAAAGCCCCTGTTCTGTTAAATAAGCAACCTAAAGGGCTATGGCTCGCTAACAGTGGTTACATGTCTGTATAAAGTAACAATGTGCTGCCATGGGTAATTATCTGTTGAAGGCTTATATTCACTTTTGTAATACAATGCTGTACAGTATTAGCAGTTAAATGGACCCTGACATTAGCATTTGGCTTTAATACAATATTAACGAAAGTATGATAATGAGCTAACTATTCACAATGTATACTGTGAGAGTCTACAATAAACATTACGTACTATGCTGTGACAACATTGTCACTCCCAACTCGGCTCAGCTTAGTCAGTGGCCCTAACTAGCTTCAAACTATGGCACTCTACCCCTCTAGCGTCAGTTTTGCACGTGTAGGGCAAGTCAGCAATAATAAATATGCAGCAGCTTGCTGGACTTTCAAATTAAAGCTTGCTGAGAAACATTTAACATTTTATGAGTTAAGGATATGCAGGAACAGACAAAGTCTGATGACCTTTGTCATCATGGTAACAATAAACCTTCATCATCATAGTCAGGTGACCTTGGTAACAATAATAAACATGGGGTTATTGTTGTCAGTCACAGTTTGGTTATGTTAAGTTACGCAGCTTAGGTAAGTTAAAAAGAAGATCCATCTATCCACTCCAACTTCTTCCATATGTGGACTTTCTCGCTCTTTATACTACGTCATCTGACTGGAAGAGAGAACAGGCTGACTGTGCAGTGGATGTACCCATTAATAATACAATACAGCACCACTATTGCTATAACTTAGTTAGTCACACACCATGAAAAAACATCTCTGTTTCAAAGATTGTAGAGCAGAATCATGGTTTTTCTTACCTGTGTTATTTAGGCCAAACAACAGGGGACATGATATGGCGAAAGACAGTACCCACACCACTGAGATCATTACTGTGACCCGTCTCCTGGAACTGTAGCGAGTATTGTACAGCATTGGCATTGCAACTGCTGTATAACTGTAAGGGGTGAAAAAAAAATAGCTGCTTTAGTTTGAATGTATGAAAACATGAAAACAAGGAAAGTATGACAATAAAAAAAATGATTGTCATATTTATTTATTCATGTTTGATTTTATGATCTACATTTATCTCGTTTTCTATTTCTTTTTCTGAGACATTTTGTCTCAATGGAGGACAGATAACATGAAGTGGTAAAACCAAGAAATGGTTCTGACCAGATCGTTTCTGACGGAGAACTGGTCCTTTGGTCTGCTATGTGCTGTGGGTGGCAGTTTACATGTAGAGGAGGATCTGAAGGCTGTGTCTCACAGGAAAGACCTTATCATTTCACCTTGCTACCCTGGTTGACCTTATTAGTAAGCTTGCTGTAATCACCAGGAAATGCACATCTTTTTACAACGCTCATGCATTGAATTCTGGGTAATTTGGTTTGAAAGTTTTGAGACATAAAGCCAAGTAGGTTTTATAAGACTATTTTGATTGTGTTTCTTTATTGGACCACACAAGGAAGGTCAGGATGGTTAGGTAATTGTATTAAGCCATTTGTGTTGTCATGGATTGTGCAACACAGTGTACCAAGGTGCCTTGGGTGTGGAATGTTTTTTCCAAGGTTTGTCCCAAGAGAGATAATGTGCAGTGCTTCTAAAAGGACAAAAATGATATGCGTATTTTCACAACATGACTGGTTTCACTAGGAATAAGATGCATTTTGTTTGTCCACCTGCTCCTGTATTACAATTTTGGGGCTGGATACACACCAAGATGGCGCAGCTGAGGCTCAGAAAAGGTGAGATGCAGAGAAAAATACTGTCATCCATTTTGAAATGTGGCGTTAAAACTTGCAAAGAAATGTAGCCACACAGGCACTAAAGAATAACACTGCAAGCTAATAAGCAAGGATATAAAGAAAAAGAAAAGGCTATAAGCTTTGTGAATGTTTTCTGAGGAAGGAAATACATTCAACACAGTTTTTAGGTGTCAAGGATATGTGATGTGAGTAATAGTGAATTTAAACATAAATATAATTATAATGTGGAAGAATCTGTGCTGAGTTAGATTAAAGGTTGATTGTTATCAATAGTGTAAAAGGCTTTTTCCTCTCAGATGATTAAATCACAGAAGTCATAAATGGCAACAGGAATGATATGGGCATTACAACTGCAGTTTATAATTAAAGGGATGTGCATGTCATGTCAAATATTGGCATCTCAAATGCAAAATCTATAATCCAGATTCATTGAAGGGTTGTTCCTCAATCGAGTCAATAAAGTTGTAATTTGTATGATGATAAAAGTTACAAATTGGGTACGTAAGCACACAGATGTCTATGCTTTTCTGCACACCAAATGTTAAGGCTTGCATAGATTCCCAGCTCAAACCCATTTGTTATGGATTATCATATTAAGCATATTATCATAAGCATATTTTATCAGATTGATGGGATTATGAGTTTATGCAATTATGTAAACAGTTTAAACAGACTTTTCTTGCAGTATTTGGATTACTTTATTGTATATAAAAATTGCATACAATTATTATTCAAATAGGACAAACTGAATTAACAGAAAGAAGAAGAAGAAGAAGAAGAAGAAGAAGAAGAAGAACCTACTACCTGTCAATAAAGTTACTGCTCTGACATCATCTTGTAAAACATTTTAGCGCACATTATGACTCACTGAGGACATTATGATATAATAATATGCTGTGATTCAACTTAAAAACAGTCTGCCTTTTGGCAGCATAATTGGAGTTCTGGTAAATCACATTTGGCATGTGTATGTTCACATTACCTCCTACACAAAAGCAGTTTTGTCTTAGGCCTATTAGTCTTCTGCTTTTAAAGAGGACGTGAGTTGCTCATTTTCTTGGCCAATATTGGAGGTCGTAATATATTCATCTTTAGCAATAGAGTAACTAACTATTCTCTTTTTCTGGTCTAAGTTGTTAACACTTATGTATGTACACTTGAATCTTTTTGTGCAGCACTTTGGAAACCTTGTGTTTGTTAAAATCGTGCAATATAAATAAAGTGGATTGGATTGGATTGGACGGTATGTGCACACGGCCATGAGTGCTACACACAGATTCACCAAAATAGAGGCCCATAATGCGAACACCTCCCAATTTGCTCTACATTGGTAGTAAGAACAAAGTTAGGAGAAAAAGATACAATCCTTTGATGTAAAAATTACGATGCTGCCTGGAGCTGCTGAACTGATTAAAGGAAACTGGAAATTTGTCTGTGACTCTCATCTGAACTTTTACAAATCAGCGTCTTACGGGTGGACACTGAAATGTCCCCAAGCCAGGGAAAGTGATACTGTCACACTCATCCTTTCTTTGATTTGTATTCAGAAGTGCCCAGCAAGCAGGCGCAAGTCAGATAAATAATATCTAAATGTTAATGTCGCTGCTATTCCTCTCTTGTAGCATTCATTTCAAATACACACAAACAATCTACCATGGGATTATTCAGTCTAATAAGGTTTCCTCCACATATGTAAGACATTTGCATTCTAATTCAATCACTTCAATAGGAGTTGAAATTGTGTCCATGTGTGACTATGATGAATATTTGTTTTGCATATGGACTTAAGATGAAAATGCAGCCAAGCAGAAAATCATGTATAATGAAACTTGACAGAATTCTATAAAATTAAAATTTGGGAAATGTTGTCATCCGGCTTTCTTCAGACGTTCACGAGTGCTTCATTTAGAACTGACTGAGCTCTCACACTTTCAATACATATTATGGTTGTCAACATTACATGATTACTTCCCTCAGTTCTTTATTGAAAGCTCAAGCTTTACATGCCCTTCAGATGAACAGCTTTCCAGTGTAACCCTGCTTTGTGATCTACTTCAAAAGAAGCACTGTCATTAATCACAGTAATCATGCCAATTAAACAACTAAATAAGTGAATTTATTTTTGGACATGGCATTAATGAATCCAGAGGGAGAAGGTCTTGTGACAAAACACTTGCTGTCATGAACTGGGGCTTTAAATAGTACTTTATTTGTGTAGCCTATTAATTATAGCTGCTATAATTAAGATTTTTATATTAACAACAAATTAAGAAGAAGAAGAAGATATACTTTATTGATCCCCTAGGGGAAATTGTTCTTTTCACTCTTTTTATACACACACACACACAAAGGGTGAAATGCAGACTTCATGCACTTGTGGACATGCAAAGGGGAGAGAGATGATGGAGTGATGGGGCTGCAACGTTAACAGTGCCCCATCAGCAGTGCACAGGAGGTGAAACCGGCACCTCTCCAGCTACCAGTCTACACTCCATATTTTGTGGTCTGTGGGACTTGAATCTGCAACCCTCCGGTTCCCAAGCCAAGTCCCTACACACTGAGCTAGTGCCGCCCCGATGTGACTGTGACTATGACTATGTGTTGGTGCATGGGGTCTCTTAAATTGTACTAAAAAACTCTGCAGTTCTCTTCATATCAACTTAAAAGATGACATACCCAGTCTTCACCCTTTACTGTTTTTGTTGAGAAATATTTTTTGTAGCGAATTTGTGTTGTCTTTCCCCTACTTTTCCACATTATTTAATTTATATTTATATTTATGGGTAGCAATAGCAATTTTTATTTTACTATGATAAATATTACTATTATATATATTATTATATATAATGTGCAAGCTTCCACAACTTTTCCATTAAATTTTATCCTACTATACATCTGTTTTATAGGTTCGTTAGATTCTGCATGCTTGTATGTTCTGAAATTGCTGCAATTTGTCATATTTAGAAATTAACATTTATAACCATGGAACATCTGGTGGGCACTTATTAGGACAGGTATGCACTTCCAAATAAAGATACATTAAATAAAGGTGCATTGCGTGAAATCCATGTCTGGAAAAGGCCATTTATATACTTTTGTGTATAGATATATGGTTCTTTGGTGGTCATGCAGTTAAAAGGTAGAAGTTCTCCTCCGTTATTCAGAAGGTAAAGATTTCCATTTAAGATCCATGCAGGAAACATAACAGGCAGGACTTAACAATCTGTGCAGAGGTGAACTCACCGATCAATGCTGATGGCACAGAGATTGAGGATGCTGGCTGTACACATCATCACATCCAGAGTGACAAAGATGTCACAGTGGATCTTGCTAAAGCGCCACTCTCCCACTACCTGGAAGAAAAAAACATCAACAAATGGCAGGTTACAGGAACAGTCAACAGAACAAAGTCACTGCATTCGCCCAGCAAAGGCAGCACCTTGGCAGAAATGATGTGTTTTCCTTCTGCAACAAAAAGCAATGCTGGCAGTGAAGTTTCCTTTTTTCATATTGTTTCCACATCAGTAACAGAAAGAGAGGGGGAATGAAGAGCAAAACTGAACCATGGGAGGAAAGGAAGAATGGGCTTAAAATGAATAAGCAAAATAAAAAAAAGTGAGTTGTGAGGGGGATCTGAAAAACAGATCAAAAAGGTTGTATGATCTGAAGAGATCAATTGCAAGTGAAAAGCAGCTGGCATATGCATTTGCACTATACACAAATCAAGGTGGTCTGTAACATTCATGTTATCAAAAGAATTTTACACTTGACAAGGTCGTAACTGATAGATTGTCTGATTTGATTCTTCAGTGACTTCATGACATCTGACAGTAGGAATTAAACACCATAGATTATCGCAAAGCCATAGACACCCTCAGTGTTGGTGAGATAATCATCCTTTAACATGTATCCTGGTCTGCAGCCCCAGGTGGCTTTCAATCAAAGGCATGATCGAAACCTATTTGTATTCATACCTCTGTTTCTCTACATGGTCAGACCCCATGGTGAAACATCCTCAGTGATGCTCTGACAGGTCCAATGCCGCCCACCTTTCCTGACACTACATCCTACCTGCTTCCTCCCACGGCTCTGAAAAGGGTAAGAGAGATGTGTGTGTGTGTGTGTGTGTGTGTGGGGGGGGCAACTCCTACTTCTCTGTTGATCATTAATCTTTGTCCCTAGCCCATGTCTTCATAAAATTTAGCACCACCTTAAAGAGCTTGTTGTTTCTGGTGTCTACAACACTAGTGGTGACTGCAGAGTGATCTGACAGCATAATGAGCGCCCTTCCCCCTGTCACAACCTCTCCTTTTTTCTACTGTTTTTTTGCATTTTTCTAACCTTTTGCTCTTGACATTTGTCTTCTCAGTATCTCTACCCTATCCCCTGCACTCACCCTGTCTATTTCTCTCATTTGCTACCATCACTCAATTTCCTGTTTTTCTTTATGTTTCCTGTTCTTCTTTATGTGACAATGTGCAGGTTGCTCCGCTCACCAACAAATAACACACTTTTTTTTTTACATCCTCATCAATGCTGCAGCCAGTAACACATTTAAGAGCCTCACAAGAGCTGAAAACCATTATAGGTCCTTATGGCTGCAACTGTGTAGCTGCAGTTTATTCATGTCAGTGAGGAGAAACACATTTAGTGAATATTAAACTGTGTTTACAGCATCACGTCTCAGGCAATGAAATCATTACAAATACATGCTAAAAGAAAGATAATTATCATGAAATGTCGACTGTGGGATACACACATTTTCGCAAATTTGTGCTTGTTATTTCACCTATTTTACGCCCTCACGGCTGCTTCTCCAACTTAATTTATACTTATTCACTCTGTGCATATGTGCATAGCAAATCATGACTCAGAATGTATCAGCATTCTGATTTAATTTGCAATGGTAAGGTATTGGGAAAATTGAAAATGTAGTAATGGGGGCAGGGGAACTGCGAAAGTCATTAGAAAGTGCAATTTCAGACGTCACTTAAAATCAGGGTGAAATTAAACTAGCACACTTTGCCCGTTCCCTCTTTGGTTGTCTTTATGGCATTCATAATAATAATAATAATAAACAACAAGCGTATTAACCATTTAAACGAGAAATGCATGCATGGATACTGTACAAACAACTTCAGTATAACAGACAAAGTAGACAACTCAAACAGCTGCGACAAAGCCAATAGCTTATACTACTATTAATGACACATAATGACAAATAAGAAATATTATCTCTGTATCACAATGTTGGATAGACAAGGATGAATAATCATATCATATTTATCTACAAACCTCAAATTACTCATACGGGTATGCACTTATCTGGGCAGAAGTGGTTTCATGTACTATACACCTTGTTCATAGAATGAACTGTAGACTGCTCTTAAGCTTTATTGTTTAATTTCTCTATCAAATCTTCAGTGACTCTTACGTTAATTCTCTTTGTTCATGATTATTTGTTGTTTGTTTTCTTGTTGTGAATGTTTCTATTCATGTCGCTCTTGAACTCAATGAGACTAAAAATACTTAAAATGACCGTATAAGTATAATACATGCGCAAGTCTAATATTTTGAATAGAATTATTATTAATGACATTTCTACATGTTATTTGACCTGTGCTAGCCTTGTAGGGAGTTTTGAAGTCTTTCCAAAGGTGAATGACTCAAGTTTGGCATGAAATTACATGATCCAAAATTCACCTTGACTTTCAACAAACTCACTCAGGACCTCAAGCCATGCATAATGTTCCCTCCATATGCTCTCTAAATCAGTCACATTTGGCAGAAAGCGAGAACTGTGGTAATTAATGCTAATTCAGCATTTAACAATAAAGGGCAAGTTGAATGCCCTGCCCACACTCTGTGACTAAGCTCTCACTGTAGTTCATACTGATACATAATCAACGCAAGAAACTCAGTCACGGCCACGGTCTGTGACAATTGAATAAAAAAACAAAATGTCTGCACATAGATAAAGAAAAGAAAGGCGTGTGTATGTGGTGGGATTGCAGGTTCTCATACAAAAAGCACACATTTGTGTTTGTTGTCATTATCTGTACATAATTAGATTGACTCTCTGGCGGAAGAAGCATGTTCTGAAACACGTGAAATTAATAAATAAAAATGGATTACATCATATTTAAGGTCACCTTCACTTCCACAACACCAATGTAAATCTATAGAGATTAATACAAACTGGTTGGTATTTACCTCAGAATAACGTGAACTGTGCTTACCTCTTATCTTGAGGCAATCAGATATATAAAGTATAGTTGTATAAATCCTTTCAAATAAGAAATGATTTGGTAGAAATGTTCTACCAAGTTTTTTTGTATTTTAAAGGATTTATACAACGGCCACTCAGTCTCAGTTTATCCCCACCGCACATTAGCAGGAGGCCAAAATCAGATGAGCATCCCACTCCAAAC